ACCCTTTTATGCCCTTTATGCCTCTACTCATGCCCTCATGTTCTTTGGGTCTCCGTACAAATGTCACTTAATTGACCATCCTATGCAAAAGGGTAGCCCTTCATTTCTTCCACCACTGTCTGTACCCTTATGCTGCTTGAATTATCTTTACACACCTATCATTACATGACATCACATGATAAATCTATTTCTTGTCTGTCACCATCCACCAAAACACAAACTTCATGAGGGCAGAGATTTAGTCTGATCTCTCTTCTAGTCTCAGAACCTGCAAGCATGCATAGCACAGAGGAGACATTTAACAAAGTTAAATGAATAAACTTTTCTTTGTATGTCCTCCTGTTTCTTGCTCTGTTCTTTGATCACAGATGTTAAGCAAGTATTGGCAGAATGGAATTTTACCTACTTACTAAAAGTTATTTAATATAACCACCAGAGGAAAAACCACAGCAAGCCACTTTTACCATAGAGAAATAAAGATAGTAGAGAAATTGTCACAACTCAGCTTAGCCTTTTATTCCTTAGTTTTCATATGATGGACCTCTCTAGGTCACAAAGTATATCACACTGAATATTTATTTCAAGGATGAAGTTCAGAAATTAACCCCAGCAGACCACCCTGCCTACACAGGATGTGTGGCTAGGGGGTAGGGGGTGGGGGGTGGGGGGGTTGGGACACGCTAGTAAGTATGTGAAGGATACCAAGAAGGTGACTGTAAGCTGCAAGGGTGCAGTTAGGGACATCCAGTTTGGGGGGATACACTCAAAGTCTAAAGTGTTTCTTCTCTTCAGTAAATTTCTCTTTCACAATACTGATTTCTTAGAAACAGACTTTTTTCCTTTGTGTCTAGGTTTTTCAGACCAGAGAAAGAAATGAAAAAAAAAAAAAAAAAAACTCAGAGAAAAATAAAACATATGGCCTCTAATCACCCACTCTCTTGATGCACATACAAGAGGCAGTTTTAAAAATTCATCTTTTCTTTGCCACCCAACGTATATATTGATGCAAAATCAAATGTCTGGAACTATGTAAGTTCATTCCATTTATATTATACCTAATTTATTTCATTTTAAAGATTTTATTTATCTATGTGAGAGAGAGAGAAAGCAGGAGAGCACAGAGGGAGAGGGAGAGGGAGAAGCAGACTCTCAGCTGAGCAGAGAACCCTGTATGGGGCTCGGTCCCAGGACCTGAGATCATGACCTGAGCATGAGGTAGACACTTAACTGACTAAACCACCCAGGCACCCCTATACTAAACCAATTTTAAATGATCATTTCCACACGAATGTTACATGATTCTCTTCTTTTCCTTCAGAATTTCCTTAAGTCCCTCCTTTTATACCAGCTCCCTATACTCAGTAGCATCAGTAACATCTTTTAACCTAAAAACACAAATATTAATCACAATGAATCCTTTTGGTTCTTATTTTACTTTTCTTGCACAACTGATGAGTATGTTTTCTAAGCCAGTGGTTCTTGACTCTGTCTACAGATTAGAATCACTTGCAGAACTTTTTAAAAAACACTAAGACTCAGACTCTCCCAAGACCTGAAGGCGGGACCCAAGCATCAGAATCTCTTTTTCAAGTTCCCCCAGTGATTCTAATGTGCAGCCATGGTTAAGAACCAAAGTTCTTAGCCCACACAACTGTAAGCCACTCAGAAATAATGCAGTGATGGGAACAGTAGCAAGAGGAAGCTGATCCCACATTTAGATTTCACTATGGTTAAATCCCAGAGCAGGCCATTGCCCTATGTATAACCAGTTGACTTGAATACTATATTACGTGACTGGATAGAATCAGTGATTATCCTTGACAATATGGATATGATTCAAAACATAAATAAGCTGAATAGCACTTAAAGATATTTTAAAGAGAATATTAGTCAAAGGTCACATTTATTCACACTATCTTCCTTAGTAGTCTGTGGCTTAAGAAATTATACATTTGCAATATTCTTAAAATTTTTTTTTTTAAAGATTTTATTTATTTATTCATGAGAGACAGAGACAGAGAGAGAGGCAGAGGGAGAAGCAGGCTCCCAAGGAGCAGAGAGCCTGATGCGGGACTCGATCCCAGGACCCTGGGATCATGACCTGAGCCGAAGGCAGACGCCCAACCATCTGAGCCACCCAGGCACCCCCATTTGCAATATTCTTTCCCTTACCCTGCTTTTTACTATAATTAATCCAACAAACTCAAGGGAAGGGTGGGGGAAAGTCCTTGTTCTTTTTTTTTTTTTTCCTGAGAAGTGATTCCTAAATGGTTTCTTGTGTAGTGGGTCACAAAGAAGAAAAGGTTGAAGGTGATTAGAACCCGTGGCACTGAAGGGAATCCAGACATTCTACAAAGAGTCTTTGATAAATAGGCAATGTAACGCAAAGAAAAGATGTAGGCACCCAAGAGGCAAGAGAAGAGGACAATGGGTATTGCCTGATTACAAGAGCACTGTGGACACATTCTGCTTTTGTACCAGACTCTGGCACAAGATTTTGGTTATGTTGAATTTTTCATCACTAATTGCTTACAAGAATTTCCAAATTGAGCATTTAATTGTTCAAAAGTAGAATGGTGACTGCAAAAGAACAAACTTAGGCTCTATAAATGCTATAATGTAATCATAATTTGTATAAAGATATATATATATATATATATATATATATATATATATATACTGACTGGTTTGGCTGAGGAAACCTTGACTAAATTGACTGGGATGTTGTTCATCACTTTTTGGTAGCATAAATATCTTTCTCCAGCTCTGTCATTTCTTGAATACTTAACTTTATAAAACGTCATTTTGTTCAGATGCTTTTTCAAAACATTTGTTGCCAGGATCTGAACTGGCACTGGAAGAAAACAGGTTATTTGCAACAAAAAGAGAGAGATAAAATTGTAGTATTACATAAAGCATTATGACTGCTTCCAAGTGATTTAAAAATCTATGTCCTAATGATCTCAATTTACTTTTTCTGCCATATCCTTCAAAATTGCCTGGAAATTACAAAGCAGGCTTTTTTTGCAGTAAATCCTAACTTCTCAATGTCTTGATTAGATTTTAGCCATTTACTGGTATATGTGTATGTAATATATTATTAGTGCCTGAACCACTATCTTAAACTAATTAGCAGTGTTTCACTAATTATAACAATGCCTCCTAAATGATGAACTACCATATAATTTCTAAATCACTACTACTGCTTGGCACCTTCTTTTATATTACTGGTTTAATCCTGAAAAAAATGTGATGTTTCTAAAACCCTAAGATTTCTTTTGAAATTCCTGAGTTTTAGGAGATTAACTTACAACATTTGTTTTTGAGACATGGCTTCTTCAAGACATTGAACATTATACCTTATCTAAATCTGTATTTTTATATTTACTTCTTATATATTATCTTCATTTTTAAGGTAAATGAATATACATTTGTCAGCAGGAGCACATCTTTTTTAAAGAGGAGTCATATTTTTAAAAAGGAATTCCTTTTTTAAAATTTCCCAAATTCGGGGCACCTGGGTGGCTCAGTCCTTAAGCATCTGCCTTCAGCTCAGGTCATGATCCCAGGGTCCTGGGATGGAGCCCCGCATCGGGCTCCCTGCTCCGCAGGAAGCCTGCTTCTCCCTCTCCCTCTCCCTCTCCCACTGCCCCTGCTTGTGTTCCCTCTCTCACTGTCTCTGCCAAAAAATAAATAAAATCTTTAAAAAAAAAATAAAAATAAAAAAATAAAATTTCCCAAATTCAAGAATTCCTAAACTATTTGCTTAGGAAACAAGACCAGGAGTTTTACTGCAGAGAAGTAGTAAGTTTAAGTTCTCTTAAAATGCTAATATAGAAATGTTTTCTTTTGTATTAATACATCTTGTCACATTTAACAAAGTTTTCCTGTGTACACAAGATTCATTCCCTTTTGGATTGTTTTTCTGGTTGATCTTTGAGCAGAGCCCTCACAAAGAGGGAAAATGACAGTAACTTTAAAGACGAAACACACCTTTACTCGATAGTTAAGCGACCAGAACAGTAAGAAGAGATCAACAGAAGATAAAAAACAAAGAAAAGCCTTCTTGCAGAAGCAGGTGTACTACAAAGCTCAATTAGTTCACAGACTGAGGACACTGCTTTTTATAAGTTTTTTTTCTCCGCTGGGAACAGTTTTCTGAGTCTCCCTCTCTCCGCTCTCCATCCCTCGAGTCCTAACCAGGTTTTTTCTTTTTTGCTTGAGAGAATGAAAAAAGTTGCCGGGGAAGGAATATTCGGTACATTTCACGAAGGGGTTTCTATTTTCAGTAAGTTTTACCGTTCTCCAGATGGCTCCCGAAGAGTCCCTAGACACACAGAGTCACTAGGCTTCCTCGCGACCCTTTTGAGAATCTACTTCCTGAAAACCAGGAACTCTCGGTACCCCCCAGAACAGACCTACCCAGAATTTCGCATGTGATTTCCACGTCGTTTGTGGAAATCGCCCTCATCTTTGCATCCCAAGTTAAAAACGTCTGTTTAGAGTTCAAAGGCAAGGAACCCTCCAACATCTTCCAAGGGCCCTTAAAGACCCCCTCGACCTCCCTAAGCGAGCGCTTGACGCGGCCAGTGGGAGCTCAGACCTTGACCGTGCGTCCGAGTAGGTGGATCCCTGCTCCCCACTGGCTTTAACGAGAGGAAAAGTTAACTTTCGGCTCCTTGCAGGTCTCCAAAGTCCGTATTGCAGGCGCCGGACTGAGCTGGGCCAAGGTCTCAAAATGTGAGACCAGACAAGAGAGATGTGTAAAGAAAGCCTCAGGGCACCACAGGTCGCCTCGCACAAACCCACCTCAAGGACCGGGCCCCGGGGCTCCCGGCGGTGCCCCCTGCGGGTTTGAGTACAGCCTCCAACGCCGGCCTCGTCTCCTCCTAGGAACGAGAGCATACCTCGAGCCCACCCGGCGCGGCGTCTGACACTGAGGCTCCCCCAAACCTCAAGACCTCGGCAGGAGCCAGGCATCGCTCGCGGGGCGTCCTTACCTTGGGGTTGGTCAGGAGCTGGTGCTCGTCGCTGTGCAGCAGCGCTCTGGAGTTGGACTCGGAGTTGTTCACGTAGACCTGGACGCAGGGGTACTGCGAGGTGCCCCTGCAGTCGGCGCCACAGGTGAAGGTGCACTCAAAGACCTCGCCGATCTGCTGCACCGACAGCACCGTGCAGTTGGCCGCCGTGGCTTGCAGATCCTGCAGCGCGGGACTGAGCCAGCAGAAGCCGAAGATAAAGAGCGACACGACGCCGGAGATGATGAGAAACAAGCCGAGCCGGATGCTCTTGTCCTCGGCTTCCGTGTACTCGTAAGCCACCCGGAGCTTCGCCATCGCCCCCCACTCCGGGCGGCTGGCGCGCTCCCCCCGCCCCCTCCCGCCCCCGGCGCCGAGCCTGACTGCCTCGGGCGGGAGGAGCCGCCGCCGCCGCCGCGCGACAGCAGGGGAGTGGGCGGCGAGGGGGAGCGCGCGAGAACAAAGGGGCCGAGGCCGGCGACGCCCCCGGCGGCGGCAGCGCCCCCCGCCCCACCCCCACCCCCCGCCAGCCCCGCCGCCAGTCGGGCCCCGGAGGCTCGCGGTGCGACCGCTGCTTCAGAACCTCCTGCACCCTCGGGCGCGAGGAGCGCACGGGCGGCTCCTGCCTCCAGCGCCCCCTGCCAGCCTCCGCCCCCGCGCTCTGCCCGCCTCCCCCACCCCGCCTCCTCTCGCCCGGTGTCTCCCCGTCTCCATCGCCCGCCAGCCGCTCCTCCGCGGGCTCTCCGGGCAGCTGCCCAGAGGGCAGGCGCGGCTGGGCTGGGCCGAGCCCGGGGGCTCCCCCGTGCGGGAGGCGGCTCCACCCGGCCCCACCCGCCGCCAACCGGGGCCTTCCCGCCCCGCCCGCCCGGGGACGTCTCCCGTGGGCGAGGGGCGGGCGAGCACCAGGGAGAGCGGCGACTGGCGCTTGAGATCCTCCTTAAATCCCCCTTGGAGAAACGTCTGAGATGAAAGCTTAGGACCGGTAGAGCTTAACCCGAGTGAAAGTTAAAACAAAAACAGAAAACAGGCAGAGGGCGTAGTGCAAGTGGAGCGGCGGGAATCTTGAACTCCAAACCGGGATTGGTCAGCCAGCCGGGAGAGCGAGCCAGCGGCGGCCAGGCAGCGGGCGCTCCGGGGAAGCGGGCCGCCGGGCCAGGCGGGTGGGGAGGGAGTTCCCGGGCGAGCGGCGTGCGCTGGGCGCGCCCGGGGGAGACCCCGCCACGCGTCCTCAGGCCTGGGCGGGCGCGCGGACCGGCGCGCGGCGGGGCGGGAGGCGTGACCCACCGCGCGGCCCCCTTCCCCCCGCCGCCCTTCCACGCCCAGCGAGCGAGGTAACGGTCCGGCCGCGGGGTCCTAGCCCTCCCAACCGCCTCGGCGCGGGCCCGCGCTCCCCGGCCCCCGGCCCGTCCCGAGGGCGCCAGGATAGCAGTGAAACAGGCTGATTCAGGCGCGGTTTGCTGTGGAGACATCGCGCGTGGGGCAGGAGCCTGCGACTGGCGAGACCAAGGAAACTCGCTGCCCGGGTGCTGGCTGGACCTATCGGAAACTTAGGTCTCCCGCAGCCGGGTGGACCCCAACTCGATTTGCCCCAAGGCTGGGACCGAATGAATAGGGACCGAAGGAAACAGGTGGAGAGGTTTGCAGCCCTGGAAAGAGACACCACTTTCCTGATCAGGATGGTCCCCCTGGCTCCCGGACTCCCGAGAACAGAATCATTTCTGTTCTCTTTCCTTCCTTAGGAACCTTGCCACCCTTGGCCCACCCCGGAATTTGTAGATGAGCTTTCCAGGAGCGCTGTGCAAGGCGACAGCGGCGTGCAGACCCGCTTTGGGACAGGTACCGTGTCTAGAGCTGCGTCCTGCTCTCTTAATTCTTCCAGTTGCTTCCTCCACCCCCGCCGCCTCTGTGCATACACCTTCAGCCGCTGTTCTTTTCATGACCTTATTTTTTTTAAGATTATCTTTTTCCAAGCCACACTTCTAATATCAAAGTTGAGAACTATTTCGACCTACATTTTGAAGAATCAGAATGCTCACTTCTTTGCAAAATATGTAAACATATCTTTTTCTTGACTTGCAAGTCCCAAATGGATATACTCATTTAAGAGTATTTATGAATATGTAAACACAATGTCATGGAATTCGTGACTTCTCTTTATTGGATTTCAAATGTTACTTAACTGGTACTGAGTATCTTTCAACTGCAGTTCTGATATTTTACTTTGAAGTACTCCATTCCTTTTTGTGGTAGGTGACAGTATTTCCAAGCACGCGGCAAAGCAAGTTTAATTACAGGAAGACCCTAAGTGTTTTTCTGAAAAAATTAAGATACAGGGTTTGGAAAACTTCCAAATCAGGGAGACACTTTGTACTTTATTACTTCTCAAGCTTTGAGAGAGTAGATTTCCTTCTTTCTTTACCTAAGAATTATTATTTTTCCCCTTTCTGTTGGCATAAAGACAATTGTTAGTGATTACATTACCTAAAAGGGAAATGAGTTTAATAGTTGAAACAGCTTAACCTGAGATCACAGGTCTTCAGCCTGAATCTTTTTCCTACTGCAGGTTATAATCATCTTCCTTTTCAAGAAGGCTCAAGCCAGTCTAAGATCTGAGGCAGTGGTGAGCAGATAACAAGACCCAATTATTCCTCCTTGGTGTGCTGAGCAACTTAATCTTGAGGCAGAACTAACTCCTATGTTAGTGCTCAAAAAACACAGGGTTGGGATGCCTAAAGATAATTTAATAAATATGATTAATGATTCCAGAGCTCCAAGAGTTCTGTGAATGAACCCTCTGCCTCAAAACTGAAGCAAGATGGTCTTCAAGTTTCAGAAAAGTCTGTCTTAATTTAACCTAAATTCTTAAGGACTTTCAAATCCATTTTTCCCTGGAGTTCTGCATTTAGTCACTCTCCTTCCTTATAAAAATATTTGAAGAAACTGTTACCATCTAGCCTTCTGTTCTTTAAACATTTACTTTTCTCCCTTATTTCCTATTTTAAAATTAGCTTTGCTTCTCTTCTGAACCCTTTCATTATCTTCATGTCTTTTTTATTGAAAGTCAAACCTATCAAAAGACTTCCCACATTAAATAAATTTCTGTTTTATCCTTAATGGAACACTGTGTTTGTTATTAGTTTCATTTACTTGAGGTGGAGCTGCCATATCACATTTCTAACATTTAGTAAGCCCCTCAGTTTCTGAAAACCAGTCACCATGGACTCTCTAAGTTAGGATAGTGGTAGGAACCTTTGGGAATCTCAGAGATAACTAAGCTCTGAAGTCACTTAGCATCTTGTTTCCTGTGGTGGACAGAGGCAGTACAGAAATAAAAGCTAGTTCTTTCTTTGCATGTTTGCCACCAATTAGAATTAAGATAAAAAATGTGGTACACAGAACCAGACCAACGTATTTGGTGTACATCATTATCTGCAGCAATGTTTTCAGGAGAATCATTGCCAAGCCCCGATGTTCTTTTTAAAAGAAAAATAAAACCTATCTAAGCAAGAACATTAAAACCATTGTTATTTATAATTTGTTCTCATGATCAGTATTCTTCAAGAAGCCCTGTGACTGTTAAAGTTGCAATATACAATTTCATATGTATATATACTTCAATTAAAAGATATACTTTCTATACTTCTATTAAAACAGTAAGGGCTCTTAAACATCACCTAATTTAACATTAAGCAGGAAAGGAAGCTCTCAAAGACTGCATTTTGTTTGAAATAGTAAAGAATATTAAAAATATTTTTTATTAACATAGAATGTATTATTTGTTTCAAGGGTACAGGTCTGTGATTCAACAGTCTTACACAATTCACATAGCACATAAAAATTTTTTAAGTTCAGATTTGTTTGCATATAGCCTCTATGTTTGCAGTTGAGAAAGGGAAGCAAAAAGCACAATCACTTCATATTAGTAATTTCATAATATGGTAGTGGAAGTATGGCTGGAGTTCCTAAATTCTTACCACCTATTATCGTTCATGTTAATGGAAGTGATCTTCTATGGGAGATAATATATACACATAAGTAGTAAAAGGGAAATCAGCTTTGGAATTAGAAAGCAAGAAGCTAAAAGGTTTTAGTCCCAACATTTAATACTAAATAATTTGACATAAATAATTGATGTTCTTAACATTGTTTCCTCCTCCTCATATGAAAGGGTTGGACTAGATTTTTTTTTTTTTTTTAAGATTTATTTATTTTAGAGAGAGCCAGAGCATGGAGGGGCAAAGGGAGAGAGGGGCCTGATACAGGGCTTGATCTCATGACCCTGAGCCGAAACCCAAAGTTGGATGTTTAACCGACTGTGCCACCCAGGCGTCCCTGGACTAGAAGATTCTTGATTCTATGATTTTTATTCCAAGTTGACTTGGTTCTTGCCCTGTTCTTCAGAAACTTAGCTACTACTATCTACCAGTAGTCAAGTCAAAAGGTTTTTTTAATAATTCCAAAATATGGAGAGTACCTCCTAGCCCAGTGGCTAAGACAGTATGTATGTCTTTAGAAAAATGGGCTTACATCTATTGAGCACCTAATATAAACAAATGCCCTAATTTACTCTTCCCATGAGATGAGGACGGAACAACAGATTAAGTAAAGCTACACACATACTGACAGTGCCAAAGTTCAAGGCCCATTTTCTGCTATACTGTACCATCTCTAAGAAATTTCTGTAGTTAGTAAAAAAGAAGTATAGGTAATACAAATGTATTTAAAATGTGCATACTTAAATTCAAGTAGAGTTAGGCTTGATCAAAATCCCTACTGTTTTATCTGTGAAGGGGGACGTGGGTCGAGGATGAGGATCTAGTGATTTAACCAGTTCCTCCAGTTTAATTTTACTCTGAATCACTTGTGTTGAAAATAGCTCTTTTTTAGATGCATAGCAAATGTAAGTAGTACGGATTTATGTGGAAGAGAAAGACTAAGTGTAATATTTAGGTTTCAGATAAGCTTGTTAGAAATTCAAGCTAGATTCAAAGTAGAAGTAAACACGGGGAACAACTATTAAAACAATAGTTCTAGGGTAGAAGAGCCTATCCTCCTCTTAATGCAGGAAATTGCACAATATTTCTAATAGTTTTCTTGCCTTCACTTGGATATTTCCGGTGATGAAAAATTCATTAACTCCTAAGACTGGACATTTGATCTTTGGATCTTTAAAAAAATTATGAAGTAGTACTTTCTTGTGAATTGAAATCTATCTTGCCATAATGTCCATGTAAAGGTTTTTAATTTGCCCTCTGGTGTTTATGTAGGATAACCTGCTTTACAAAAAATTCCACTTCAGGGGGGCACCTGGTTGGCTCAGTCGACAGAACCTATGACTCCTTATCTCAGGGCCCTGAATTCAGGTCCCACGTTGGATGTAGAGCGTACTTAAAAAAACAAACAAAAAAACCCAAGTGATTCTACTTCAGATGTGGGAAGACTACTCTCCTATTCCTTCTAGACTAATCTTCAGTTTCTTCAGTATTCCCTTTTGATAATGGTTTAGAAAACTAAGATCATATTCTTATCCCAAAATGCTAAATAAAAATAATTCAAAGTTGCTAAGGATACCCAGTTTTAACATTCTCTGAAACAAGAGTCTACACCTTTCTTTTC